GTACAGCAGACTGTTTTGCAGGAACCTGTGGACATGATGACCTCCTTTTAGTGCCAATTCTGTTAAAAGATGAGAGGAAATCTTGTCATCCACTTTACAGAAACAGACAGATGGAGAAAGTGACTTCAGAGGGGAAAACTCAGTTGGCCAGTTCAGCTCAGTTTAACTGGCCATCTGTACACACACAACAGCCTCCTGCTGACACGATGACACAAACATTCACTGAACTCACGCACATATCTCCTCTTGCTAAATCACTGGTCAAAAGAGAGGACATGGGTCAGAGTTTGACAGGCTTCGTAAGTAAAGGCATTGTAAAACAATCAGAAACGCACGCATGCACCTGCAGCGTGCTGTCCTTGCTGCAACTTACAGCAGGGGTGCTGACCAAATGGGCGACTAACTACCACCCGGGGTAAAATGAAAGAAAAGAGCTGGACGACGGGGATGTTAAGGCAGGGCTAGAGCAGAGGGCTGTGAGAAAGTGGCCCTGTGAGAATGGGATGTCTGTCCCTCCATCTGCTTGTCAGGAGGGGGGCTGGCTCGGCACAAAAGAGGCCTTTGTGGAGGTACAGTGACCTAGGAGAGTGGAGGAGGCATGAGGGAGAGGGAGGTGAGGCACAGCGAAAAGCAGGCAGAGGTTTCCATCGAAAAGACAAGAATTGATATTTGTATTAGAGTACAATATGTTCATATGAGCTGTCTGGATACAAAGGTACCAGTGACCCAATTGATCCTTCATCAGCTGCTGAGATTTCTGAACCTCTGTCAGACCACTTTTCCTTTTCCAGCTAAAGATGTACATCATCAAAAATTAAAACATAACTTTATTTATACTGCCAAACTGGGGTACAGCTCAACTGCTGAAGGCTGTATTGTGTCATTTTTATAGAAAAAAGAAAAAAGTGTGTGATGGTGCTGTTTGGGGAGCACTTAATTTTCTCCAGGCTTGACCTCATTAGGAGAGAGCCCATTTTTTATTAGATGAATTCTTACTTTGTTTTATCCTCAGCGGCCTTGACGACAGCCATGTGGGCAGCACAGCTACAGCTTAGTTTAATTAAAAGTGAACAATGTGTCAGCAGCTGCTTTTGATAATTAAATCATGATTTATTTTTAATATAAATATTTAATTTCTTTTACATTCTCTCATGTGAGAATTTGATGCATTTCTTTGCACTTGACATTAAAACTATTTTGGCTTTTGGACTATTTATCAGCTGCAACACGACCTTAGATTAAGGTTATGCAAACAAATAGAGGTGTATCAGTGTTTTTCTTGTTTTTGACAAAATCAGCGAATTCAGAAAGTCAGCATTGCGTTCATTGAGAATAAAATTAGTTGTTAGTTGTAGCCTGAGTGGGAAGCTTCAGGTGCTCTGTCTCAGCTAAAATCCCTATTATAAAGCTGATGAAGGCACATTTGATTACTTTTGGCTGAATTTGACATAATTTAGGCATAAGAAAAAAATAAAAATGTAGTTTGTTTTTTGTTTTTTTGTAGAAGGAATAGACTTCCTTTGATAATTTTGTGATGACTTTTTTTCCATTTTAAGTAAGCACCAAGAAAGTGGCCAAAACACTTCAGAGTCTTTTAAAAGCTTTATTCCGTCCACCTCTGTTGCCACCACCAGCTCAGTCTTTCAGGTATTTTTCAGGGTTGCTCAACACTATCATTTCAAACTGAACGTGCTTCCTCTACATATAGAGACATACAGAGAAGGAAGGAAAGAAGGGAGTGGTTTGGTTCTCAGATGAAGTTTGTTTTCTTGAAGACCTGCTCATTTCCAGGAGTACTAGGGAGCGGGTCTCTCTGGGTTGCGCATGAAACTTAATCTGGCAGGAAAAGCCAGAGGTGCTGGTTTCATCTACTCAGAAGTGTTGCAACTTGCATCACAGGGAAGCGGTCACCGTTATTGTGGCGGCTTCAGTGGTCCGTAGTGTATAGCTGTCTGCTGCTTTCTTTGAAAGCATGCATGTGGGTTTGCGTTACAGTGAGAATGATGTCTTTTCCATTTATTAATGAATGAACAAAAGGATGTAGATGCATAAATATAC